GTGGGGGGTGGGTGGGTTCTGATCTTGCACACTTGCAAAGCTGCAGTCAGGGTTCCTTTTGGGCTATGGTGTTAGAGGATCAGGGAGTGGGTGGGTGGGCACAGACCTGCATTGGGGACCTCCGCAGGCCCCATCATTCTCAGAGGGCCCCGTGGGGGCGGGGCTGCCATGCCTGGGACAGTCAGTCCCTTCCAACCCCAGAGGCATGTGGGAATTGAATGATCTGAGGAGGGTGGCAGGGGCTGGGATGAGAGGGCCTTTAAGGGACCCTGTCCGGTGGAACTATGGTGGCCTGTGGAGCGTCCCCTTGAGGGTGGTGGGGCGGGGTCCCTCCAAGCTGCCCCCTTCCCTACCCTACACCTCCCCCATCTTAGGAGGCCACCCCCTCCGCCCTCCCTCCTCTCTCCCCGAGTCTTCCACCCACACTAGCACTCTTCTTGCAGGCCATGGTTTGGAAACCGCAGCTCTGGATCCTTTCTGGTCCTTTCTCTGGGGAGGGGCTGTGAGGAGGGAAGAGGAGGTGTTAGAAGCTCAGTGCTGCCTGAGACCCCAGACAGACCCTTCCTCATCTCTCCCCCTTCCCCGAAATGACACCCTCTGACTAGATCAGGCTCTCAGACCTCCCACCACCCCCTTCACACACACAGACCCAGGTTTGGGCAGAGGGGGACTCTTGGCACAGGGGACAAGGGTGGAGGCTAGGTGTACTGGACAGAGTTTGGGCCAGCGCTGAGGCCATCAGGGACAGGGAGGCAGTGGGCCTCAGAGCGAGCCAGGACCCAAGACTGGCCTGGTTCCGACCCCTCTCTGTGCCTGACTCCCCTGCTCCTCCAGGAAGGGCTTGTGGTCCTGGCTACTTTGTGCCTGGGGGACCCAGGATCACGCTGTCCCTAGTGCTGGGGAGGGAGGCTAAATCCCCCACTGAGAGCCAGATGGGAAGTGGAAACTGAGGAGTGGCTCCTGTCTGGGCTGGTGCTAAGTCCCTCCTTGTCCCCCTGGAGCCCGGCCCAGGAGGAGCAGAGAATTCACCACAGCCCCTGCTCTGCCCCAGCCCTGACTATCTGGGTTCCGCTAGCAGGGAAGTGACAGGGAAACGCCAGCCCCCTGGCTGAGGGGTATCTGGTGGCACCTCGGGGGGGTGGGGCTTGGCCACACTGACCCACCAGATCAGTAAGGGACAGGTGAAGAGCAAGTGACACTGGGACACGAGGGGCAAGGGCGGGCAGGCCAGCTGCGGCCAACGAGATGCAGTTGAGGTTTTCCTCTTTTCAGGGAATTTGGGGGGTGGGGCGGGGCCCCCCACCTTTCTGACATCAGCGCTGCCTTGGTCCCTCCTCCCGAGCCCGGGATGGTCGCAGGTAAATCGGGTCGGGACCGGGGGGGGGGGGG